GTTTAAATAAGGATACAGGTGGACCCGTTGCAACAATGAGATGTACAAGTTGTCATGTTGAAAACGAACTTCACAACTTTGGTGCGGGGGTGGGGGGGGGGGGGGGATTGGGTGGGGGAGGCTGGGAAGAGATGTGAAGGGAAAAAAAAGGAGGAGGCTGCAATGCTTGATAAGAAATGTGCTCATTATCTTGCCCATGTAATTGTAACCCCTCTGTACAGTATATTCACAAAAAATAAAAACAAAAATTAAAAAAAAATTCTCCCCTTTTATGTTGTTTGAAATTTTTTGTCAACAGATAAAATTTGATAGTAATGTGAAAAGTTTAAGATAATTGTATAGGAAACAGACTTAGAATGGAGGAAATTGTGTTTGTTTCTTTCTCATATATATTGGCAGGAAATAGAACAGAAACAACAAAAGCATCTTTTCAATTATCTTGGTGATCCTCCCCACCCTATTCCCTAAAGAACTACCAATGTCTATAAAAGCAGATTAGTGGATTTTCAGTCCTCCTGAGAGGTTACGTTTCCCAGACACTTGACAGTGTCCTATTCTAGGGAATGGGGAAGAGAGTTGGGAAACCACAGATGGAGCTGCTCACATTCTATGCTCCTGATAAGGTCTTAGTGGCTTGGTTAGTCCTCTGGCAGAGGCTAGACCAATGCTATTTACCCAATGCACTTGAGATTAAGAAGTTACATTTAATAGGGAAGAAGAATTCTATGTTGTTTATAAAAGATATGATGCTATATAAAAATCTTTCTTTGATAAATAACTTCTGATTTTTTAATATAATTTCATTTCTATTTAAGCTCCTCCTACACAAAAGAAGTCAATATAGAATAGCAATGAAAGCAGAGATTTTGAGGTTTGAAGGAGGAACCCCACCTTTGGGGTCTTCATTCATCATTTATAAAACAGTGGGTCAAGGTCAGATGCTGGTGGCTCGTGTCTGTAATCCTAATTACTCAGAAGGCTGAGAGCTAAGGATCATGGTTTGAAGCCAATTTGATCAGGAAAACTGGGAATTTCTTATCTCCAATTTAGCACGAAAAAAAAAAAGCTGGAATGGAGCTGTGGCTCAAGTGATAGAGAGTGATAACCTTGAGTGCTAAAGTTTAAGGACAGTGCCTAGGCCCTATGTTCAAACCCAGGACCAGCATGCACACACACACACACACACACACACACACACACACATGCCTGCTCACAGAACAGGCCAATAAATAGATGAATAAATGTGTATATATATATAGAAGATAGATAGATAGATAGATTCTATATATAGATATATAATCATATAGATTCTATATACAGATATATGAAATAATATAATCCTTATCAAAATCTCAGCTTTTTTGCAGAAATTAATATAACAATATTTCTGTATTCATATGGAATTTTGAGAAATCCTTAATAGCCCAAATAATCTTAATAAGGAACAAAGTAGAGAGTTTCCACTTGTAATTTAAAAATACTTATAATTTATGAAAGTGGCACTGTGGCTCAACTGGTAGAATGCTCACCTTGAGCTGAAGAGCTCAGGGACAGTGCCCAGGCCCAGAGTTCAAGCCCCATGACTGACAAAAAACAACAACAATAAAAAAACCATGATTTAAAAACTTACTACATGCATTGTTGGGGGGAATGTAAACTTGTTCAACCACTTTGGAAAGCAGTATGGAGGTTCCTCAAAAGACTTCGCATAGAGCTCCCCTATGACCCAGCAATCCCACTCTTTGGCATTTACCCTAACGATAATAAACAAGGGTATACTAGAGTTACCAGCACAACTATATTTATCACAGCATTATTCACCATAGCTAAGATATAGAATCAACCCAGATGCAGCTCAGTAGATTAATGGATCAAGAAAATGTGATATATATATATATATATATAATAGAATTCTATGCCTCCATCAGAAAGAATGACACCATCCCATTCATTAGGAAATGAAAAACTTGGAAAAAATTATATTAAGTGAAGTAAGCCAGGCCCAAAGAAACATAGGTCCCATGGTTTCCCTTATTTGCAATAACTAGTATATGTCTAGGACAAGCAGAAAAGGTCAAAAGCTATGTACATATGACCATATAAGATGATGTTAAGCGAAATGAACACCAATATAGGGACACAAGTGATTTTTTCTTTCTTGCTATTGTTTTTAACGTACTTACAATGTACTATGTGATTTTTTTGTTTCTCTTGTATGTTCTTCCCCCATGGTATAACCCCTGTTTTCACTGTATTTGATTCCAGTGCCCTGCATCTTGTATGTACACTTTTCTAATTTGGGGAGAGGAAGGGAAAAAAATGCTTAAATAGGGATACAGGTTGACTCATTGTAACAATGAGATGTACAAGACCCTATGTTGAAAATGAATTTTACAACTTGTTTGGGGGGAAGGGAGGTATTGGGAAGGTAGGGAGGGAAGGAATGGGAGGGGAAAAACAAAGGAGGAGGTAACAATGCTTGATAGGAAATGTACTCATTACCTTACTCATGTAACTGTAACCCCTCTGTACACTATTTTTACAATAAAAATGTATTTAAAAACTTACTACAAAGTTACAGTAATCAAGATCATGTGATAGTTGCATAGGATAGATATTTAGATTATGGAATAAAGTGTTTAGAGACAGATCTTTGCATTTATGGTCATTACTAATTAATCTAGAGTGCCAAGGAAATTTAGTAAAGAAATAATAGTCTTCAATAAATGATACTGGGACAACTAGACATCTATTAATAAATATAGCATGAAGTTAGATCCCTATCTCATATACAAAATTTAACTTAAAATGATTATATGCCTAAATATAGAAACTGAAATAATATAACTTTTAGAAAAGACCATTAGGTGTAAATTGTTTGTGATTTTGATTTAGGCAATGACTTATTAAATGTGACACCACAAACACAACTATAAACAAATAACTGGACTTAATAAAAAATTTTAAAAACATTTGATGCATCAAAGTACACTATAAAGTCTAAGTAGACTTTATTTGTAAATCAAATACAACATAAAAGTAAACCAAATATATCATAGGGTAGAATATCCAGAATATACAAGAATTATTACATCTGAGTTCAAATCCCAGGACCAACACACACACACACACACACACACACACACACACATACACACACACACACAAGTTTATCAGGTGACCCCACAGTCCTACTCTGGTATATATAAAAATATTGTTCACAGATGATTGAAAATATGTCCATACAAAATGCTGAAAGAAAGATACAGGTTGACACATTGTAACAATGAGACATACAAGACACTGTTGAAAATGAACTTTACAACTTCCGGAAGGAGGAGTCGGGGAGGTGGGGAGGGAAGGGATAGTAGGGCAAAAACAAAGGAGGACTAATAATGCTCGATAGGAAATGTACTCATTACCTTACTCATGTAACTATAACCCCTCTGTACAGTATCTTTACAATAAAAATATTTGAAAAATATGTCCATACACAATCTTGGATTCAGATGTTCACAGCATAATTGTTTATAGTGTCTGAAAAGGGAAAACAACTCCAGTGGTATTTCTAGTAAATGAAGTAACTAGATAAAACTTTTGCAGTATGATGAACCTTGGAAACAAAATACTAAGCGAAAGAAGTCAGACCCAGATCACATTGAGATAGGCCAATCTATAAAGATAGAACATCAGGAGCCAGATCAACGTGCGGTGAGTATTGTAGTGTGTGTGTGTGTGTGTGTGTGTGTGTGTGTGTGTGTGTGTGTGTATGCATGCGCATGCGCGCGTGTGCGTGTGTAGAGGTGGAGGACGCAGGGAACTTCTAATGCAATGGAGTTTCCTTGTGGAGTGATAAAATGCTTTGGAATTGGGTTATAGCAATGGTTGTATAAACTTGTGAATATGTCAAAGCCCACAAAACCAAATATATTTAATGGTGAAATTTTGTGGGATGTGATTATATCTTTTTTTTTTTAAGTGAGAAAGTGTGTGGTTTGCACACTCAGACTCTGGTATTAGTTTGATGGTGGCAGTCCTCATACTGCTCTGTCTCGTCTGATGAGCTGCAGGTTGTTGTTAGTGGAAAACCTGTTCTTGCTTCCTATGAGTCAGGCCTTTCTCAGCTTCTCCTGGGGAGGCATGCATGGAGAAGTTTCAAGGATGTAGAAATCTATGTACTTGTTTTTGCTGCTATTTATTTATGCTTATGCCATGTGTTTCTGTGATTAAATGGCACCTCATTTTCTCCATTTCCCATAGGTTTGGTTCTGTGACTCCAGATGGACAGTACTATTTGTCTATTAAGAACAAGTATGCGAGATTCAATGTGATGCTGGCAGCACTGACCTCTTCAAGATTAGCGTTGGCCTTCCAAGCTATGGGCAGTATGAAGGTAATGACTCTGATTTTATTCATTTTACCATTTATTCACTTCATATTCTTGGAATGGGTAACAATGTCAGAAGCTGAGTTGGCACAATGTGGCCAGGGGTAGTTCCCTGCTAGGTTGTGACAGCTGACCTTATACACAAGACCTTTTTTTTTTTTTGCAATAGTATGCCATCCAGTTGCATTTCAGATGGCTTCTGCTAGTCACAGTGAGTGGAGCCTGCCCATTGTGGTAACATAGCCACAAAAGATGATCCAAGGAGATTGGCTGGCTTAGGACAAGCAGGTCTCCTGGAGAGTGTTATTTTTCTCCCTGGGTCCTCTGGTCTGTGCATAAGAAAAAGCCTGCTTTAACCTCCACTGTGATTCATAAAGGTGAAAAAAATATAGACACCCCAAGAATACTTACTTGGGGCTTGAGTACAGCTTTTCCATCAAGCAGGAATACATTTCAGCCACCGGACTTCAAGGTTGCTATCAGCCTGCAGAAGTCTGAAGAGCATAGAAATTCTTTGTCACTCATTTCTGCTAGGTCTGCTGTGCTTCACAGGCACAGGGACCCTGGTGGCTTTGAACCTAGCCAACTTACACCCGCCCATGGCCTCATTCCCCTGCTTGTTTTGTGGTGGCTTTTGCAATGGGGCAAGATGGATGTTTAACTCTCAGCTCCCTCCTCTGGAGTGGCTCAGGTAGTCTCTCTCTTTTTCTTTTTTTATTTTCTTTTTTGATTTCTGTCAGTCATGGGGCTTGAACTCAGGTCCTAGGTGCTGTCCCTGAGCTTTTTTCACTCAAGGCTAGCACTCCACTATATTTAGCCACAGCACCACTTCTGGTTTTCTGGTGGTCAATTGGAGATAAGAATCTCACAGACTCTAATCTGCCTGGGCTGGCTTCAAACTGGGACCCTCAAATCTCAGCCTCCTGAGTAGCTAGGATTATAGATGTAGGCCACTGGTGCCTTTATCTGGCCTCACAGTGGAAGCTTCTGATCAATAGGAGCCCCAGAGGAGCCTGCTGGTAGAACCGTAGAGCAGACAGTATCCATATACCACAGAAAATAGTTTCTTCACAGCTGTGATTGAACCTGTCTCAGCCATCTTCAGGGCCCCAGAAAGGGGCAGAAGGAGAGAAGCCAGAGGATCCAGAAATGCATTAAAAGGAAGAGATGGAAAGCCAACCTAGGGTTGTCTAAAATCATCACAGCAGTATCTGTGCCATCTGCTCAGGATCTCCTAATCACAGTGATCTTCAAACAATTTTATCCCTTGTGACAATTGTTGGGCATAGTAGACATGCTGATTAGAGGTAGCAAAGGCTTCTGAGAAACTGCACCCCTGAAGGGGGTGGAGTGGGTGATGGTATGAAGATGTCTACCCTGCAAGCAGCTCTGATAGTTCTCTGAGGTCCGTGTGAAGCTGTGGGAGATCAGGTAGAGGCAATACGGACAGGGCCCGGGTCTTCCAGGAGAGACTTTGTTTTAAGTACCACCATATCTGGTGTAGTGTGGGGTGATGGCCCCAGGAGAGGAGACACATGGGTGATTCTCCAATGGTTTTCCTCCATTTTGTTGAGTATTAGCCAGGGGCCAGCATCTGCTGACCCTCAGAGACTTGGGGGCTACATTTGGATCAATTCCTTGATAGGCATCTGTCTGGAATACTTTGTTCCTAGCAACACAGAGGCATGATCATGATGGTGGATTCTGAAATCAGAACCTTGAGCTTGAATTTCAATCTCATATGTGACTGCAGTGGCGCCATGGGCAAGTCAGTCCTCGTTAGGCCTCGGTTTCTCCATCATTTACCTATGGAGTGGTATGTTGAAGGTGAGACATGAGTGGAGGGTGGTGTGTGTAGCACTGGCACAGAGCAGAAGGTGCCTAGCTCAGAGCTGTCAATTAGATAGTGGTTGTTATTGTGATAGCTGCTATTACTAGGAAGATAGAAGCTGACTGTAGGCAAGGAATAAATTAGCTTCCTTATTCACTGCTTAGAATCCTGGCCTCCAGGAAAGAGATCTGAAATGTTTTGGAGAGATGCATGGAATCTCAGATTCCTGAGTATCTCAATCAAACCACACTAACCTGGAATTGTATTTGCTCTGTACATCTAGACCTTATCAAGGAATGGAGTTTCCAGAAAGTTAGTCAGCTTTCTATTCCTGTAACAAAATACCTGGAGTGATCAACAGAACAAAAGAGAAGGTTTATTTTGACTCACCACTTCAGAGGCTTCAGTTAGGAGTCAGTTGGCCCTGGGGTGAACTAATGCATCATTGCAGGGAACATGTGATGTAGGAAATGCTCACTTCATAGCAGCAGGGGAATGGAGAGACAGGAAAGAGATGTGGCCCTACTCTTCCCTCAAAGGCAGATCCCCAGTGACCCAATTTCTCCCATTAGACCCTGCCTCCCAGAGGTTGCATGCCTTTCATTAGCACCATGGGCTGGAAACAAAGCTTTCAATATATACATCTTTGGAGGACATTACATTCCAAGGAAGATGGGGACCCTGCACAGAACCTAGCAGAGATCAGACCCTGCTTGGTCCATGCACTGTGTCACACTGCCAGCCAGAAACCCAGTGACTGTTACTTCATTGTGAGGATCTCTGGCAAGTATGATCTCAGCAGTTTCTTGGCAGCTCCTCCTCTCCTATGGCTCAGACACTTGACATAGGTTTTCCCGGTTGAAACCAATGACTTCTTGCTTCTTCTGATCTTGTTGATGAGTGGAAAAATGGATCCTTCTCTCCTATGTGCTTTCTTGATGTATTAGGAAACTGTCACCCCAGCTCTGTGCAGTGACATTCACTCAAGGCCGTGCATGCCTGGTCCTTTTAAACTTTGCCCAGATGTCTTATTTTTCATGATTATCTCTCATTTCCATGGCATTCCTCAGTACTTTCAGATTTTCTCTCAAAGATTTTCTGCAATAGCCATCCTCTATTTTCGTATCCAAAATGCCGTGCCAAAGTAAATGCTTCGCAAGACAAGAAGGAAAAGGATGTTTGGTGAGGATGTGGGGAGAGGGGCAGAGGTGGCGAGAACTCTGCAGCCAATGTAGAGGGGCTGGAAAGACTTTCCCCGGGGAGAAAGGAAGCTGGGGACACCTTTGTGAGTGAGGAGGTGGAGGTATAGGAAGTGAGAAGTGTCTGTAAGAGCCAGCCCATCCCTTTGTTTTGACTCTGTACAGAGGAAAACTATTTTAGCACAAAAGAAGCTGGTCCTCTCCATTGCAACAATGAGATGTACAAGACGCTATGTTGAAAACAAACTTTACAACTTTCGCGGGGGGTGGGGGGGGGAGTGGGGGTAGTTGTGGAGGCAAGAGGGAAAGGATGGTAGGGGAAAAACAAAAGAGGAGGCAACAATGCTTGATAGGAAATGTACTCATTACCTTGTTCATGTAACTGTAACCCCTCTGTACAGTATTTTTACAATAAAACATGTACAAAACAAGCATGCTGGTCCTAACCCATAAGTGGTCTCCCTAAGGGAGGCTTTTAGAGACCAGGTTGCCTCCCACCATTGTCTCATTTCAAATGATCCTCAGGTGCTGCCAATGTTGTAGTGGGCATGTGCACCTTGAGAACCCTGGTGCACAGCAGAAAAGGACATCATCTCATCCACTTTGTCACCCTCTGTGGCCTGTCAGTACCTTGAAGATCAAGGGCCAAATTGCCTCATTGACCCCTTATTCTCCTCATTTCAATGGCTCCCTGTGCCATGCTTTTCTTCATGGTGTGTGTGTGTGTGTGTGTGTGTGTGTGTGTGTGTGTGTGTCTTTTGGATGATGCTGTGACATCTAGGATGCTTACTTCTATCTTGTGCATGGCTAATTCTCATGTAAATTTCAGTTTTCTTGCACCTATGACTTCCTGAGAAAGGTGTCAGCCCGCATGCACCCCCTCTATTATCACTTCCTAAACCCTGCTGCCTCCCTTGCAGCATTTATAGAGCTTAGAGCCGCAGCAGTCACATGCAGGGCATCACAGTTCAGTCAGTAACCATGTGACTATTCAGAGATTTTGTGTATAAAGAGATGATTAAGATGATATGAGATCATAGGGCTAGAGTCTGAATTTGATAAGATTGGTGGCCAGCTAAGAAGAGGTGACATCAGAGCTCTCTGCTTGTCCTCATGTGCATAGAGGAAAGGCCATGTGAGGACAGATGGGGAGAGCAGAAGTTGGTAAGCCAGGTTGCCACCTTGACCTTGGATTTCCAGAGTTTAGAAACTGAGGGAACTATACTTCTGTTGTCTCACCACTTGCTGAGACAGACTAATGTATTAATAGCAGACTAGTGACCAGTGAGATGTTGGCCAGTGAGGCCTTCCAACAGGGTACTCATGAAGCAGGGCATTTTGCAGTTGGTAGGAGCCAGTTCCCTCCACCCCCTTTTCTCATTCCAGGGCCCAGCCCAGTATAAAGTTATCAGTTGAGATGAGTTGAGGGGAATTGACATGCACATAAACAGTTGGCATGTTGTGCTTGTCTCACATGCCACAGTGAAGCCATTAAGAGTGTAGACCCTGGGCCTCGCCTCTCTGAGCTTGCACCTTGCCTCTGGATGAGCTTGGAAGTCACGGGTCTCTAAGGTAGAGCTGTTGGAAGCCTGGAGGGGGTCAGAATATGTAAAGTCACATCAGGCTATGGCAAAGAGGGCATGTGACATGCTCATCCCAGGGCAGTGGCTTCTCAAAGCCCAAGTGAGGAGTGAGGCTAAGTCTGTTCCTTTGTCAATGTGTAGCAAGACCAGTCCTCAGTCATGTTTTTGAAGAGCAGTGTCGGTGAGTCAAAAGCACTGGCTCCTCCCTCATTGGTTGTGTCTTTTTTTCGAAGTGTTATGTGTGCTTTGATGAAGCAGTATCACATTGCTCATCTCGTTCTCCTCAGGCTGGTGCCTTTCTTTCTCCAGCATCCCCCACCCCTCCCCCACCCCACTCACACACAGTCACAGAAGTGGGGAGCAGAGCATCAGGATCTGCTCAGTTGCTGGGAA